TCTGAAAGACCAAATCGATAAGAAAAACCACTACAAACACGCACAGATTCCTTCGTTATACTTCTACATGAAATTTAATCTCCTCTCCCCTCTGCCCGCTTTGTGGTTTTCTAGTCTAGAGCAAATGCCTCCACTTAGAAGATAAACTGAAGATAGAAGTGAGTTGGGCTGTAAATATTCATGTGTGTGTGTGTGGGGGGGGGGGTCCACATTTTGTGTGAGTTAACAGGCGTGTTAGATCTGTGCAAAGAGTTTTATCAAAGCCAGACGTGTTCAGTCTGACATCATGTTTGTGTGTTACATATTGAAATGACAAGTAAACAAACATTTTGGCCAAAAGTAAATTAGCAACAACAAACCGCATCCCCTGAACTCTATCTGTACCTTTATTGTGCCTTTTAGGAATTATCAAAGAGTCTAAAACATCCAAAATAGACTTGAATTCAGACAAAAGAAAAGTTTGTTTCCCACTTAAAGGAAATTAACATGTTCAATGAAACCTCTCCTTGTGTTTAAGGTGAAAAAGAGATAGTTCTCTTCCTTTGGCAGTCAAAACACTGTTTGATTCACTCCTGAAGCTGAACAGATGCCTGGCACACTTATCTTTTTCCATCCTTACCCCGAGTCTCCCACACAGACTTTGGCCAGACTGATAATTACAAAACACACTCACACAAAGTAGACTCACAACAAGGAGTCACATCAAGAAGTGCCGCCATTTTTACGGAAAAAACAGATTTCCTCGTCTTAATGCTGCTCTCCAGCTAGCTGGATCCAAATTCCCCCTTCAAAACAAGAGCCACCGTGCTCCTCCATTAGCGGTGAGTACGATGTGGTCACAGTGTGGTCAGTGTGACAAATGCCACAGCTACTGTTCTTAATCAGCCCGCTGTCCCATTCGGATCCAACTGCCCTTTATAAAGAAAAAAAAACACATTCCTCCCAGTCTGCGGTGCAAAGCGATCGCCTCTCCTTTAGCCGGTTAATTGTTAATCAGGACGAGCACAATAAAGGTGCCACGGCGTGCCCCCCCCCCCCCCTGCATTCTTGTGTGTGCGTTATCCCCTCAGATCCAGTCATGCAGAAGACCTCTGGCGCATGCAAGTGCCACAATGTCTGAGGGTCAGGGTGAAGCTCGGCCTTATGATTGGTCGAGCCAGCAGAGGAAACCCGCGGCGACGCAGGTGTGTGGAACGGGAAAACCGTTCGTTTCAACCGGAGTTTGAGTGTTTCCAGACTTTTTTCATCATCATCAAGAAAAGGGAAAAAAAAGATTTATCGTCCAGAGTCTTTTATTTGGATGTTATTCCACCCAAACTCATCTAATTTGCCAACAATCTGCTTGAACCGCGAGCCCAGATCCCCTTTCTGAAGTTTCCAAATTGATTTTCAGCGTCCAGTTTGTAACTCTCCCAACAAACGTGCTCGATCCAAAAAAAAAAATAAAGAAGTTGACCTGTTTTGCTAATATCCACAAACCATTGAAACCGGTCAGTGCAGAAGTGGCAAACTCAGGACAAGCCGGTCAGATCAAGTTCATTAAAAAGCTATTTTTGGACACAGAGACTTGGTTCAGTATCCTGTTGCCTTGTGCCCTTCATTCATGCACCTGGAACTCACTGCATGTTCTCAGCGAGAGCCGCAGAACCAATAACATCATCTGCCATTCCCATCTAGCACAAAAAGTCTTACAACTCTGTCAGTAAAAAAAAAAAGTGTTTTGATTTTCAAAAACGTCCAACATTCCTCACTGAGACTCAAGCCGATGTGGAAGCCGGAAACTGGAAGCAGGCCTTTGCCCCCCCCCCCCCCCCCCCAACAGTGCAGCTCCAGCTGATATTTGGCTAATTCTGACAATCTCTCCCCGTTCAGGACTTTTCACATTTTGCAAACAGGCTGCAGATTTTCTGGCATCTGAGGTGTGGAGGATGCTGCACAGGCCTGCCTGCCGACTCCTAATCTACTTATCTCCCACACAGACGGGAGATAGAAGTCCACAAAACCCTTGTGATCGCCGTCTATCGGAGCATGCCCCGACTTCCCCGACCTAAAAACAAATATTTTTACAACTAAATCAAGATAGGATTGTTGAGCGGTGTGCCACAGTCCTCAAGATGATTCAAATCAAGAGGCAGCTGAAAACATTTTGGAATTGCTTCTCCATCACCACGTTTTCATTTTCCCTTAAAGTATGCTACGTTAACATTGATAGCTCCCTTACGTTGTGAGGACACACAGCCAGGTCATCAACCCTACACCTAATTCACCGGATATATATACAGTGGGGGAAATAAGTATTTGACCCCTTGCTGATTTTGCAGGTTTGCCCACTTACAAAGAATGCAACAATCTGTAACTTTAATCATATGTACTGTACATTCTAACAGTGAAAGACAGAATCCCAAAGAAAATTCCAGAAAATCACATCAATATGAATTTATAAAAATTGATAACCATCTGATGAGGAAAAATAAGCATTTTTTGTAAGTGGGCAAACCTGCAAAATCAGCAAGGGGTCAAATACTTATTTCCCCCACTGTATATACAGTATATATATGAGTGTGTGTACCACAGATATATTGTCTTTTGCTGTTGCCATGACAGTAAAAAAGATGATCAGTCAAGATAATGAGTAATGAGCACCGTTTTCATTATAAAGCTACTGGAAAATAACAGCACCCACAATCAAATGAAGAAGACAGGAGATACAATCTCTTCTTGCCCCTGAGGGAGGTTCAAGTCGGGGCTTTTTGGATGCTCTTACATCTGGGTGGAGGGGGCGGGGGGGTGGGGAGGGGGGGCTGGAAGGAGAGCTGTGGCCAAAGGCTGAGATCACAGAGGTCTCCCTTTAATACCTGCAAAAAGGTGGCACGCCTCTCTTTTTATAGAAAAGCAAACAGACCACAACAGGAAAATAAAATATTTGCCCGGCCGGACGGCGGGCCAGCTGGGGGCACGCGGCGGCCTGAGCGGGGAGAACAGTCGATGACTGTGCAGCGGCCTGACAAGCCCAAATGGCAGCTTTATGCCAGAGACTGTCAAGAAGAGGGTGTGACGTTGGAATGTTAAACACTACAGGAATGTTATTTATTTTTCTTTGATACCACCAACCCCACCCCCCACACCCCTTTTCCGTGTAACAACACATATATTTGGATGCTTGTATGCATATACATTCAGAATGGTGTAACGGTGCTTTTTCTCCATCTAAACTGGGGGTGTCTCAGGGCTCTGATTGGTCAAACCCGGCCTCTCCTGACCCGGCAGCGAAAACCCAAAACAACTCTCAGCACTCGTCTGTTCTCCGGCCCACGAGGACGTCAACATCCTGGAAGGCTGCCATCCTCTATTATCAAAAGGGCTTTTCTTTGTTCATGACAAGAGAGACCTCTCTTTCTGTTCTCCAACCACTCTGTGACATTAGGAACAATAGCCTTTTTTTCCCTTTTTTTTTTACAAAGATGTCTTACATTACAGCTGAGGCAGAGTAGCCTGACTCCTTACTGGCAGCCTCTGGGGGATTTTATGAACAGAAACAGCTGAAATGCATGTCACACAGACAACACCAGTCTGAATCTTGAAAAAAAAAAAAACTTTTACCAGAGACCACCAGAAAATGTTGCGAATATGACATCAATTGACTCCAATAACATCTGTGCGCTGGCCGGTGTCTAGACGGGAGAGCGGAGTTTTATGAATGAGCTCAGCCTTCAGTCCTTCCTCTGCTGATTCAGAGTAAATGGAGAAAGCATTCGCCCGCAGACGCTAACAGGGCTGATGGACTTCCTTCCACTTGTGAGCAGTGGAAGCTGTGTGTCATCACCCGGGCATGCGGGCCGGCCTGGACCGCAGTCATTAGCGCTGGAGGCTGTCTGAGTCTCAGGTCCATGTGAGGAGACCATGCCAGCTTTCCAACTGAGAGCGAACTAGGTAAAAATGTCACTCAGAGGGTCTGAGTTCATCCTTTACAAGCTGTGGGACCGATTACCTGCCTTGGTTGTGAATCCACATAATATTGTGAAGATCTGACACTTGGAATATGAGAAATACTGATTTGGAGACTCAGATATTTCTTTTAAACTATCCTGATATCTTTTTGCAGTAAAAAAAAAAAACATTTAACCAAACCGAGGTCATTCTAAACTGGATAGCGTTCATGATAATACAAGCTATTGCTGTTCGTAGTGAGGGAAAAATAAGCCTTTCCTTTTTTAGAACACTGCAGACACAACAAAACCCTTCCCTCCTGGGGGACAAACAATTTACAAAGAGCCACAGTGTCTGAATAAAGCTCTTACACGCTGTTCCCAGCTCTGCTGTTCTTGCTCTTTTGGATTGTTCCCACGCCTTGCGCTCACCAAAAGATGGAGCTCTAGGCAGGCACTGTTTGAAAATGAATGAGAATGTAGAACAGCTACTGTAAAGTCTGTTTGGTTCAGTTTCTACCAGGTGGCTTTCTTATTGATCACGGGACGTAAAAAAAATCGCTGGATCAAGTTCACCGTCATCCAAGAAAGAGCTCAGATTTCAAAATCCAGAACTAACTCTAGTCTCATTTAAAAAATAAAATCATATCATTTACCCTTATGAGCACAACTGGAAGAGAGGATGCTATTCTTATTGGTCATATAATATTTTCCTGTTTCTAAATTGGGCACCATAACCCTAACCCTAACCCTAACCCTAATCTCTCTCAGCTATTGAATGAACCTTACTTTTTCTACATCCTGGTTGGATATATAGTTGGTCTAATGTTTTTTTTTGTTGGTCTTTCCTATTCCAATTTCTAATCTTATTCCCATATATGTGGTGGAATTGAACACAAATCCTTGCATGACAAACCCCCAGCAGCCCAGAACAGAGACCTCCTCTGCCCCCTCAGCAGGAACAGCTGATAGAGGGGGGTTTGGGAGGTGTGTGGGGGGAGGGGGGGGGGGGGGGTGGCAGCAGGTAGCCGTTCCCCCGCTGAGTGACAACAACCCCCGGCGCGGACCTCCTACCTTCTGATACGCCATCTGGAGGTAGTTGTAGGGGATCCTCCTCTGGAAGTCCTGCACCACGTCCTCGCTGACTTTGTGCACGGACTGGGAGCCCAGTTTCTCCTCGATGCATCTGTTCATGCACGCGGCTCTGCGGAGGACCGCGTCGAAAAAGCTGAGGTCGGAGAAGGTCTCCTCCGGGAAGGGATGCTGGTCCTGGCAGCGCAGGCGGCACCGGACCCTGGCGCGGCGCGCCTCCGAGTGGCTGCGCAGCGCCTCCTCCATCCGGAGAGCCACGCTCTCGTAGTCCCCGGCGTAAAAAGCCCGCACGGCCGTGTCGTACAGCAGGTCGTAGGGCTCCAGGAAGGCTGCTGAGGAGAGCAACAGAGTGGAGAGCAGGAGGACCGGAGACCAGGACGCATCCATCTTCGGGTTTTGGCTCAGAGTGGGAGAGAGACGCGCGTAAAGTGGCTCACAGGAGTCCGCTCCACCTCGTACCGCAGTCCATTTAAAACGCACGGGACAGCCGTAACGACACCAGGACGGGACTGGAGACTCAGGTTTTTTGTCAGGACCCCCCCTCTACGGCTTTCGCAGACTCCTCCCCTCCTGGAGATGAGTGGCCAGCAAAAACAGCGTCTCTCCCCCTAACGAGCAAATAAGCCCTGAGCCGAGGAGTCACAAGAGGGTCCCCCCCCCCCCAAGGAGTGGGGAGCATAAGCCGGTTGCTTTGGTTGGTCTATTCGCTACATGCAAATGTGAGTTTAAGCCCCCTGAGGTGTGACAAGAGTTGAAGGATTTGTTCTCAGACCGGAGGAAAGCGCAGGAGTCTTTGGAACTGCCTCAAAGCGCTCCTTCCTGTGATGTACCAACTCTAACATACCCTGTACTGGGTTTGGTAATCAAGGGTAGTCTTGGCTTCAACTAAATTATAAGTATTCTTGATGAAAATGTTGTGGTTATAATGATGGGAAGAAAAAAAAATCCCTAAACCCGGATATGCGGTTATGGACAGCAGAGCTCCACTCTGCGATGTTTCTGAGACGCAGAGGTTTCTTTAAAATGGAGGCTGTCTCCCTCTTGAGGCAGTTTCAGTTACAGACAGTTTAACCTCAATATTGAAGAAAAGAAAGAGGATCAAGCACGTTCAGTATCCAACACAAAACTCACCACAAAAATCTGAACGAATCCATTCATAACAGCTGAGGCTTCATGAACAGGCAAAACTGTTTTAAACCCTTTTTTTGTTGTTTATGATAAAAAGGAGACAATTTCAATGTAGATTTTCACAGTTTCAGGTTTTCCTGATAAATAAATAAACTTGGAGTGACTTTAAAGTGGCCCAAATTGACCCAAAGATACAATCTTGTAGTTTATGGCCTCTTTTGGGATAACTTTCCTAATCAGATGTGTTAAGTTCTTCTCTTTTCTATCAGACATCATTATTTTTTATTACAAAGACAATCGTTTAGGCAAGATATTTTTATTAGATTCTAGCAATAGCCATAATATTACTCATCAATGTTATCAATAACCATATTTTTTTTCAGCATACACACAGAAATTTGGCATAGTATGTCACTTCTTCAATTATTAGCTCACACTAGAGTTCAGGTCACATATTCATGAGCACTTTCAGTTAACGGCTACTGTAGCCTGTGCTGCATGAGAGAAAGCTGACATGTCAAGTACAAGTCAGAACAGGTTTTTTTCCTTCATGTTCCTGCATTTTGTGTAATGGGACTCCCACTGGAATGCTGAAGATAAACAAATCTCTGCGTGTTGCTCCGTTTTTGTGGCGCGAACGGCGTTTCAGTGAGCCATTCTCACAAAGAGCCATTAAAAAAGGTTCAGAAAATTTGGGCCTTTTGTTTAGATTTACTTCACCCGAGGAGTCATGAAATAAACAAACAGAAAAGTAACAGAAAACGTGTTTAAACTCAGTCTGAGAAATGAGAAATTGTGCAAAACTCAACTGTTTTATTACCTTTGCACAGTTTCTGGGAATCAAAGAGGGGTTGGGCACAATTTGGGGACTCTGTTTAGTAACAGATGGTTATTTGCTACATAAATGACAAATAGACCTCAACTTCTATAACATTTTTCAGTCAAACTGACCACTGAAAGCACTTTAAACTACATGTCATCGTCCCACTCCGGTGGATGCACCAGTTGGCATCTCGGGGTTCAGAGCCTTTCATCAACGTGTGGTCAGGAGGAACAGGGAGTTGAACCACAGACCCTCCAATCAGTAGGAAACTGCTCTTTCCTCATGAACCACAGCTGCTCCGAAAAGCCACCAAAAACACAACACAGCTCCTGCTGTTTGTTGTGTCAGCAGAAAAATGAGAACATTTCCCCCAACAGTGTGATTTAGCCAGCTTTAACCATGTTTATCACCGAATGAAGAACCCTAACAAGAAATGAGTTTGGTTGTTCAATCATAGCTAAGCCTCTGAGTGACTGAATCACATCGTCTGTTCATCCCAAAGCACACTTATTTTGAAATATTATATGAAAATAGTTGTCTTGATCTGTGTCCAGAGTTAAACCTGCCTCGTGTTCAGGATCCACTAGGATAGGCTCCCGCTGAGCACAAGCCTTAACTGATTGAGTGTAATGTAACCTATCTAAACAAAAATTAAAGAGCCAAAATTGGTTTATTTTTCTTTTAAAGAAAAAAAATCTATACATACATATACATTTCCACTGAAAGCTATACATAGTGCACAAACCAATACACCTATTATAAGAAATATAATATTAAGATTTACATAGAATTAACAAGGGTATAAAAACAATCTGTGTTCACAAACAGAGAGAGAAAAAGTTTTGATAGCAAAATACAAAAGTACAGCATCAAAACACGTCTCGACCTGGAACAAAGAAACATTCTTCAGTATCTGTTGCAAATATGCAAAATGACAAAGTCCATTATGTACGACTCCTCTTGTGGACATATGGAAAAGCAAACTTGTAATTACTTCCAGACCATTTTCACTCTGAATATTTCACATTCTTACAGCTAAAAAACAAGCAGAAAACTGCTGCTGTGGCCAAACCAGAACACAACACTGTCCCTGATATAACCGCTGCTACATTCACAACTCTGCAGGGCGACGCTGCCTTTTTCCTGGATGTGCTGCTAGACGTAATTGGACTTGGGTTTTGTGGCGTGGAGCAGCTCGTTGGAGGTCAGCGACTCGGACGATCTGCCCCCGCAGCATCTCTGGCAGCTCAGGAAAACGCCGCCGATCATAGTGAGGAGACCACCGGCCCAGCTCACAAACACGGCGTTTCCGAACTCACGGCTGTAGAAAAACACACATTTATGGTCATTTGTGTTTACACGATGTGTATGTGTGTGTTCTGTGAGCTTGTATTGTCAGCAATGGTCTTTACCTCTGCAGGCGATGAGACTCTTTGAAGGTCTGAACAATAACTTTGACATACCAGGATGTGATGGCGATGACCAGTAAGCCTAAATAAAGAAAAGCCATATCGTCTTCAGTCATGACAAATCTAAAGAAAAGTCCATTTGATACAAGGCAGCACAACCTAGCTCTAATGAGCTTTTTCCCCACCATAAGGCATTATTGTATTGATACAATTATCCCAACATCATACCAGGGCCCTCATCATGTTTGACTGTAGATAAGGAGTCTTTTTCCTTTTTGGCTTGATTAAACTGGCTGTAACTAAATGAATATTTTGGTTCCGCTTCAGGAAGACCCTTCCCAAAAAAGACAATAACATGTCTGCAAAGTTCTGCGTTACAAACTGAAAGCTCTACTCAGGACCGTCCAATCAGTGCTTCATGTGTGGAAGCACGAAACATGACGCAGCAGTTTTTCCTGTTTTTCGTCCGTTAGATGGGCAAACAAATGTCCATTAAGTTCTGATACAGAAAACTTTTTTCAGTGTTCAGTATAATATTCAAAGTCCACCCTCATGTGATGACATGTGAATACTGAAAAGAATAAGCAGACAGGGTCTTCATTGCTATTAGTTTTGTTTGACAAGCCAATGCGAATATCCTAAATGTATAAAACAGAGCTTTTTTTTAATCTTCTTTAGATATGCTAGCTTCTCAGTTTAACATATGTTCCATATAAAGTCCCAGGGACCCACCTGAAACCATGAACATGATCCCTCCGGCCAGAGCCACCATGGATTTGCTCCTGGGCATGCTGTCCATGAAGCGGGTGCATTTCATCCCCACAGTGGAGACCATCACCGCCACGGCCGAGAGGAAGAGGCTGACCAGCATCACCGCCCTGGTCGCCTGGATTTCAGCTGCAGGAGCACAAGTGGAACAGTTCATACGGGCAGGGAACGTTCTCCCGTGACTCCCTTTGACTTTAACTGTCCTTACAGAAAGCATATGCAAATGAAAAACTAGTATTCCAGAAATACAGAAAACGTGGTGAGACCAAAACCAAAGAAAATATACTTTTTCAATAGTTTAATTTCTTTTAAAATGATGTGAAAAACGAAGCAGAGATAGAGGAGGTCAGTCTAAAGTGGTTACTGTTGAAAAAAAAAACAGTTCTGGCTAATTATAGCAGCTTACTTTCATGGGAAGGTATCTCATCAAGTAGTGTCTGGAAGATACAGTGAGGCGTTAAAGCTTACTTGATAGCTTCAGCACGGACTGGTGAATTTCGCAGGTCGTTCTCTCGGTGCCGCTGCAGGTCATCCACAGGCCCTCGTAGATCCGAAATTTGCCCTGAGCCTCCTTCCTCCACTCGACCATGAAGATAGCGGCCGTGTTAGCGGCCACTCCGACCAGAGAGATCAAGAAACCGAGGAGCTGCAGCGCAGAGCTGGCCATGGTGTCCAGATAACAGGGCAGGGATTGGTTTAATGAGGTTCTGTTTCCAAATTACGCAAAGACGAGGGAAACTGTAGAGGGGATGTTTTGGCCAGTAAGTCGCTTAACAAGTGTGATCTCCCTCCTTAAGGACAATCAGACTGCAGAGATCTGCTGCCCGGCTATTTAAAGTCCAGGGCGCATGACGCACGAGGTCCAGACTCCACCAGCAGCCTCTAATGGGGAAAAAGATGCGGTGGAGAAGCCATCAAACTATTACAGCGAACCTCACACAGACCACAGTGAAAAATACTGATACAAAATGTGCAAGTGAGGCGTCAACGTTGTAGCTGTATGTTAAAGAATCTAGATTATTTTTAGAAGCCCAAACAGACTTGATGAGCAGGAGTTTATCCAAGCTCTGATTGTGATCTTCAGCCTTTAATGATGCCCTCACCATTTCATATTAAGTCCTTAAATTAACTTATTTGGATCATAAGACAATTGACAAGCAGTTTTTATTCCAAGCTGTGCCTTTGCATATCAGGTTGGTTCATCAACCTTCAGGTTGGTTCATCAACCTTCTTTCAGACAGATTGTCACCCAGATTATTGGCTTTCATAGGCTGAATTTATCAGATTGAACTTCCCTTTGGAACAAGTTCCTTCTTTGAATATTCAGTTGGAAAAAGATTGGAATTGATATATAGTTAATTGTTATGATTTGACCCAGTTTTTTGGCATCACACACCACCAGCATATTCCAGGAAAAGGGTGAAACTGCTCTTGAAGAGGTCCTTCTTACAAATAATTCACATTCGCAACTGTCATTCCTTTCCTGAGTCATTTACAGCAGCAAGCTTGTGTTTATACATGCAAACTCTGCATTTCACATTGACAATTACCAGGTTATTTGACCATTTATGGTCAAGGAGATGCCAGTCTGTAAACACAGGCATTTGTCCCTTAGATTGAATCACTCTCCACCCTTTCCTGAAATAATCCTCACGCAAAACATTTTCATGCAGCTCATGTCACGGCTCCCTTCAGAGCCGACCAACAACAAGGAGAGCTCTCCCATTAGAAGTTTAATTCATTTGAATCTTGTCACTTCCTTCAATTAAAAAGAGCAACTGTGGTCAAGTGGTTTGAATTTGAGAAGAAAGGGTTTGTGTTTTTGTTTGTTAATTTACCTCCCATATAAAAAAAAACAGTTGTGCGTTTGTAATGGGACCAATAGTGATTCTTACTCACATTGTATCCAGCGAGCTGCGCCCATTGATGTGTTCTGATGGATTTAGTTAATAAGTGCTCTTAGAGCACCTTAGAAGATTCCAATCACTACATGTTAGGTTTTCAGTCCATCAGCTTAAGGAACTGATTAAGATCTACTAGCTGATGCATCCCGCCTCCTCAAAGAGGCCATTGATAGAAAGTAAACATTGTTAACTTGAACTTTTGGCAGTTTTAATGTTGTGACTGACTAATCTAAATGTAGAGCAAATGTGAATGATGTAACATTGGGCACCTTGTTTGTATTGGTATGCTGCCATCTGGGTCAGTATAACTCATTAGATTTTTGATGTGTGGTCAATATAGCCAAAACAACAGTGATCTAATGCTTTTAAATCATGTCGACCTACACTATTGTGAACCATCTTGAACTTTTTTGGACTTCAAAAGTTTGTAACTAAAAGATTAATCATACTTCCTCATGTGCATTTTAGCAGTGAAAGAAGAAGAGAGGCTAAATCACGTATCCTCAAAATAGAGATCTTGGGTTATGAAATGGGGAAGTGGTCAAGAAGAATGTGTTCATGACCATATTAGTGTGTCACTTTAACATTTGTGACACACGTTTTCTTGGAATGAAACGGAACAGGACAGGGGTCATTGTGCGGGTCATTTCCGATTGGGCCTGATGTGGCCACAGTGAGGAAGAATCCTCACCAGCCCCCACACCTACTCCCGGCTGATGGACAGAGTCAGACAGTGTGTTTACAGTGTGGAACACACGCACACACACACACACACACACACACACACACACAGCAATGTCCCATTTGGATGAGTGTTGCAAGTGAGTTTCAACTGATTTCTGAATTTCACAGAACCGACATTTTTATTGCTCCAATATGAATAATTCTGCAATAGCATACAACAAACAATGCAAAATGAGGTGTGTGTATATATGTATATGTATATATATATGTTCATATATATATTCATATGTATTGTTATATATGAATAAACATGAATATGTACTGTGATGTATTTAACAGAGTAAGATAATATCACAGGAAGTATTCACTTGAAATTGAAAACAAAATGAACTGTGCTTTCAGGGGACCCATAGTAAAACCTTATCATGTACATTCATCACAAACAGAGAAAGAGCCAGTGTTTACCGTCATTATCACAAATGAGGAGGGTCAAATTGCTTCTTGTAACTGTTCTTGTGGCTGTGACCTGAAATGATTATAGACTAGGGAGTGTAGTGACTGGTTTTGAACATTTCTTCCACCAAACAAAATTCATGTTTTTGGTTGTTTGTCTTTTTTTTTAATCAAAGCTTTAATGCCAGTCCTTGCTGTTGTGTTCTGTCTCTTTTGTGGCGAAAGAAACAAAACAATAGTATTGAATTTATTAAAGTGAAACTGTTGACACCTCACACAGACACAGTTAGTTTCTCTTTGGAGCAGGATGTGGGATCCTCTTATACTCTGTGATAAAATCTTCTGATGTTGATTTTACACGAATAAACAGAGACGCAAGTCAGCATGGACTGCATGTGTTGTGGTCATGAAATCAGCCACCCTCTACATTGTCAGTGATTTGCAAAGTTTAGAAAAAATCATTTATGACTGAAGCACCCCCTCTGTACAAACCACCATAGAAATAAAATACTGAACACATAATATACGAACTATTTGTGAAAATAGGAATGAAAACACCATCCTGATAACCCAAAGGTTGTTTCTGTTGGTGAAACACAACTTATTTACAGAATATTCTCAGTCCCCTTAACCCCAAATAGTTTTTTTTTTTTGCCAACTGGTCAAATCAGTTATTATTGTTATTTTTCTGCTCCAAGACTTGAGTAAATAACTTCCTCCAGGGAAGGGAGGGAAGCCAAGAGTTAATTCCACAGAAATGTTTCTTCAGTTAGTTTGCGATTTGAAGTATCAGGATCAAGTCACTGGCCTTTCTTCCACTTCTGAGGGTGAGAGGCGCTGGGCTCCTGGTTTCTGAAGGTGGAGGCCTGTGTGGACGGGGGTCAGCACGGTTGTAAAGACGCCATCTTGTGTTTGCAGGGCGCTAAAACAGCCGCTCACACGGGACTCCCTGAGGAGTGCCGAGACACCCGCTGGAACACTTTGTCCCAGAGGCCTACCGTGTACAGTAGTCATCACCCCCATCAGGCTTTTTTACACCTTTTACACCACAAAGTCAAGTTCAGTTTAATGGTGTTGATTACGCTGAATGTGGAATATTCTACAGTTTCTGACTAAATCTACTTCATTTTGTTACTTTATTTTCAATTTCAAGCTGTTAAACAGCCACAAACTCAAAGTTACAACCCCCTTAGGCCCCCTTGTGGTTGGTTAAAATATTAAGATTGTCTCTTCTACCTGGTTGATTAGTTTGAGTACCCAGTGAACCCGGAAGTCTTTTGGTTACTTAGGTTCTCACTTCAGACTAACCAGTTTCTCCTCGCCTCCTTGGTTGAAGTCTTATTTGCACAATACAGCACTTATATTACGCTCCTCCATGCGTACATAGTTTACACTCACTTGAGTGCTTTTACACTCTGAATTGTGAACATTTACCTGGAGGCGTACACGGTTCTAACCTGGATTAAGGATTTATTCTTTTTAAACTTTTACTTTTGATGTGTTGCCACTTTAGTTGTGCCCCTGCTTTTTTTATTATTATTAATTGTGTTTTAAACTCTTCTGCAATCTACTTAATTCTTTCAATGTCCACTTTTTGTTTGTTCTGCTACAAAACACCTCCACAAACTTAATAAACAAACAGACAGTAAAGAGAGATGTAGGAGTCCATTCCATCTAGTCGATCGGCATAAGTTTCAGAATTAGTTTATTCCTAAATTTGCTGCTGTTTTGTCAGTTGGATCAATGATGTTGGTTTTGAAATTCATCCATTCAAAGGACAAATAGTTACAGTTTGTTGGTAGGGAGGACTAGGGTTTGGCTGTTGGTAAGGCCTACTTATGTAAAGAAGGTTTGTCCAGTTCGACAGGTATCCTATTAATTAAAGTTGCATTCCATTTGGATTTCGTTTTCAAAGCTCTGGTGTGGTCCGGCATGTGTGAACGACTGATAAGGGACTGAAACAAAGCCAGTCACATGTTCTGAAGGACTCTTAAATAAAAAGATTATGTGACATTGGGAAAAAGTTGTCCATAAAAAAACGACCAAGAAACCATAGTCAATATAATAATAATAAAAAAAAGTAAAACTGTAAAACTGGGTACCTTTTTAAGGTGACTATGAAACATTATCATACACATGTGCAGTCCCATGTTTGTGTGTATTTTTACCCATTCGCTCAGGCAGGAATCAAATGTGTCCCCTGATGACTGAGAATAGTGTTCAGCAGATGTATAAGGAATTCAAAAGTAAAGATTTTCTTTTTCCTGAGTTTTGCTCGGCAGTATTTCATCATCAGAATAGCTGCTGAAAGACGACGTGTCAGGCAACGGGCCCCTTTTAACACGGCGGTGACATTTCATACCTTCAGCTCCCTCCGAGCTGTGAAACATGATGGTTGCATACTTTTAAAAGGCATCTTTAAGATGGATCTCCCCTCGGGGGCAGCGCCGCATCACACGAACAACTCCATGTGTTTCTAAAGTTTCCAGAGGTTAGTTAGTCATGTCATACAGCCGACACACAGAAAGACCCAAAACATGCTGTTTAGAGTTTGTTCTGACAGATGTGCAGTTTTGAATGTGGCACAATTAACACACCCTAATACAAAAATAAAGCCAATACTCATGTACAAACGTTTAAGGCCTGTGATCCAGATTCAAGATTCAAATTGACACATTATTACACATTACATTATACAATGTGTGCACCCCCTTAATTAATCACAGCCTACTGTGTTCCTTATGTCTTATATGAACCATTCCATGGCTTTCATTGCATTTCCCAGCTGATGGATATCCTGAAATCAGTTCAGTTGTTCTTTGTCCCTTTGTGCATGCTTAAACAAAACCCCGCTGATTGCCTTGGCGTGCGTGGTGGTGACTCCCTGCATAGTCGGGCCCGGCCGCTGCCCCAAACCTGTTCTATGTCATTCCTGCACCAGGCAGAGCTCTGAGAACCTCGGGGCCAAACGGCCCCGCTGATCCTTTCAAACATTTTTCAGCCCTTGATGAGAATGTTTTTTCGTCGTCCCACATGCCGACGTTCAGCAGTCGTCAGCTTCAGCAGATTGTTCCGACTCTAAAAAACCTGTCAAGCTCTGTTCAGGGACTGTGACACAGCTACTAGATTAAACTAGATTAAAACGTTACGATAAGTGTTCAGGTTGAATGAGCTTTAAAAGAGCATAGAAAGTAAGAGGCATCGTGCACATGAGTAAGAATGCAGACTAATGAGGAGTCTTATCTTTTGTTCCCTTGGCTTTACAATTGAACTCCACTTTCAAGTGATTTCAAAGTAAACTGATAGTTATTAGAGAGAAATATGTGGAGCTTTGTTCTGCAAAATAGGCCACATTTGATGAAAATCTAAGCATGTTTCCTACAATTACAGAAGACAGCATTGCTGTTATTTTTTGCATAACGCACAAAGTAGTGAGGAAAAAAAGTCAGTTTCTTGTTTAATATTCTAATTCAGTGTCAGTTTGATGAGTCTTTCTTAAGAAAGCAGAGCCCTGATTTACTCTGCTGAGGGTCGGACCACTTGACATCTGACAGTAGTTCTCTGACTAACACCACCGGTTTTTCCTGAAGATGTGCCCCGGGCTTTTTCACACTGGGAGGAGGAAAAAAGACCTGCAAAAAAAAAAAAGAAAAAATAAACGAAAAATCTAGCAAATTAGGATCAGGACTTTCCCCCAAACTTTTCTTTCTAGTTTACACCAAATAAACCTGAGATGGAACACTTTCATTCGTCTTTCCTCACTTTATATTTACTCTCTGGGTCGTTTGGATCTAGACTAACTCGTGGAAACGATAATGTGCAGGTAGTCTGACACCCCCCCCTCCCCTTCCCCCCCCCCCCCCCCCTCCCAGCACCATCTGGTGGGTGTGTCTTCGTGTCAGAACACGGCGCGCTCAGACTGATAGACGGCTGCGCACACATTTCTACCTGCCAGGTGAGACGCAGGGAAACGGCCAGAGCTCAGCCAAAGGTTACTTTCCTCCACTTTCACAAACCCCAAACGCTTGGAAAGACATCGACCAGGTGCAGGTAAGCTGAACCGTCACTGGTTACTGTTGGTTGCGCTTCTGATTTGCGTCTTTTTTTGTTTGTTTGGTCACTTTGCAGAGGAATCACCTGTTGCGCATGGCGCATGCTTACCTGCGTCTCACATGACGTTCAGTCAAAGTAAGCTGGAAACATACCAAAGACTATGAGCCAGAATCTTGAATTTTTTATTTTTTTAATCCGGAGAATAAAGAAATAAAAACTCTTTTCAGGGTTATTTCTCAGCAGATTATTTCTGTTACCCGCACAGCTGGAAACTTTGCCTGTGGATTTGTCCGTTTTGAAATTTCAGTCATTGTTTCTGGTCGTGTGTGTAACGTGAGTCTCGTGCAAGAGAGCCATAGTGGGAATGTTTGGATGCAATGTTTGGAGAGGCAGTTCTGGCTCTGAAGGCATCACAGGATGGTAACATTTGTTAACAGGCTTCTTAGAGAAAAACGGAAACAAAAGGAAAAAAAACTTGGTTCCAGGGAGAGAGGCCTATTTTATTTTTTTGCCTCCCTCCAAAAACCATGCAGCACCTCCTGACTGCTACAATAATGGCCCACTGTCGGGCCCCAGGGGGAGAAGCAGATATTCAGTTTGATTGTGTTCTAGTTTGTGTTGAGTTGCCTGATCTCCAGCAGGAGAAGGGCATGGCAGTGGTGTTACCACATGCACACAAACCTCCAGTATGTCAGGTATGTTGGTGAACCAGATCCTCTCACCCATCCTCAGACCTGAGGGTGTAACTCTGTACTTTCCACGATACCGGGGCCCGATGTCAATCAAGGTAACATTTTCAGGATTACCTGCAGCTGATGGTTAGCAAAAGGCTGAAGGCTGAGCACACGGAGCATAGCTGTAAAATGAATGAGAAGCCGTAGCGTCGGAGGAAGAAGTCATCGTTAAACATCATTAAATGACCTGTAGTTGCTTCTGTATTTGTTCCAACAAAATTAAATAAAAAAATAAAGTCAAATGAAGCTTTTGTGTGTCTCGACTTGAATTGCCGCAGAGCTCTGGTACAAACACCCGAGGCCTGCACATTGTCATGGCAGGCTCCTCCTAAACTGGTTCTCCCTCTAGTTAATATTTCTGAATAATAACTGGAACTCCAGTGTGAAAGATGTTGTGTAATCCAGTACAAATGGCCGTCAGCTAAAAATGTAAATATTTTGTTTGGGTCATGAATGTATTTGGTTTAAATTGTCCTATGTAAAAAAAAAAAAGCATGTGTGGGTCCCAGGGAGCTCAAACCTGCACAACAGGTCAGTGTGTCATCAGCTTTTGAGATGAGGAAATGATGAACCATCCGGGTTCGACTTGTACAAGAGCCAAAGGAGTGTTTCAGTGGAAACGCTGATAAACTTTATTAGATTTTCAGATGCTGCACGTCAAAGCAACCTCATTTTACTCAAAGTTCTGATACAGCAAATCCCGACAAGGTGGATTCATGATTGCTATATTGCATAAAAGCCCTAAATCAAATATTGCAAAAGTTCATGTGTGACGTGGACACTCAAACTCAACCCTGATGTACAACATCCAAATACAGAGAATTGTCTTATTCACTTTTTTTTTTTAATGAATATCCAAATTATCAATAGGTCCACAAGGTGGCGCTCTCCTCAAAGAGCAGATCAGGAACCCCACCTTAGTGCAGCCACTAATTCTGCTACAACCACAGCTTTGAGCTCTTCCACTTCCAAGTCTCAGGAGTTAAATATATGGCACACATCCCACGCTTTCAACAGCAATTAGCACACAACGACTCCTAACACTTGGCTGTTTGTCCTCTATAATGCACACATCTCACATTTGGGGTAAAGAAAAGTCAAGTTTTACATAGGGGGACATTGTTTTGGAAGTTGATGTGCAGCAGGTTGTCATTTTAGCTCAGAAAAGCTCATTATTTTCCCTTATGCATCATGAAAAGATATGCTCATGTCTGGGGTGTTAAAGTTTTCCCATTACAGGTCGATTTAGACAGGAATGGAACTGATTTCCCTTCTCCCATATGTGGAAGATGTTTGTCTTCTGCTGGCAGGAAGTGATATCTGCCTTTTGAGTTTTAGACAAATAACTGGAAGTGACAGCCGGAGAGTCTGGAGGGGGGGGAACAATGCAAGGGGAAATCAACAAACATGGAGTAAAACAAATAAATATAAAAAGGTCCCTGTTATAAAGGAAAAAAAAAAAAAACTTGTACAACACTATTTATGGACCAAAGAGACTAGCCTTTCCACAATGATTTGTTACAATTTGAAAGCACAAGTTTATAAAAACGCACAACCTCTGTCCTGGAAGCGTGACATAAATAGAGGATTAAGAGGAGCAAAGCACATGCATTTCAGTTTTGGATGTAAAAGCCGACATGAAATGGCTGCAGTAGAATATAAGCGAGTAGATATTTTGTCCATTCACAAAGAAGATTATTGGCATTTGATACCGCGAGCCCTTCCTGGTTTTTAAGAATGAGCCAGGCTTCTGATGGAGCTGAAATGCATGTGCACGGTTTTACACTCTCAGTAAGCATGCACGGAGAACAGTAACCCTTACAAAGTCGTGGGGCTGAGCCCCGACAAGCAGAAAAAAGACACGGCGAGCAGCCAGCTGACGTCCACCAACGGCCACCGAGGTCCAGCTGAGGAGCGGGCGGCGGAAACAGAACCACCAGCACCGGGATAAAGGCTTGTGTTTCGTTTCAGTTGAATACAGCAATAGAAATGAATTCCTTCAGAGTCATAGGCCGAGTGGCACATGGAGGAGGAGGGAGGGGGGGGCTGCTTTCTGCAAAGCACAGGTGTACAAAGCAGCTGCCATGTTGGAATCTTAAGACACTGAAGCAGCCGCGGTGCTCCAGACGGACGCGTCCCGTGAGGAGTCGGGAGGAGATTGCATGGTTTTAATATATCCAGCTGAGGCCTTAAGCCCATGAGATTTGTGACGGTCCACGGACATCAGCACACGTTTACCACAGCAGATGAGAAGCCAGGTCCTCCAACAGCTAGGAATCAGGAGTTTATTTTGCAAGGCTGCTCTTTAAGCTTGTCCAAATGTCAAGTCAGTTCAAAGAAAAAAAAAACAAACAACCAAAAAAAACATTCACAATTTAAAAATAAAAAAATTTAAAAAAGGAAGAAAGGTGAGGAAAAAAAAAAAAAAAAAAAAAAAAAAA